GAAAGATTTACGGTTGACAACATTTTGTGATAGTGATTGGGCGGCATGTCCTTTGACTCGTTGTTCCTTGGCTAGTTATCTTATGTTTCTTGGTCGCTCGCCTTTCTCTTGAAAGACTACAAAACAGCCTACAGTATCTCGTTCCTCGGCTGAAGCCAAATATCGTTGTATGACGGTTGTTACATGTGAGTTGAAATGGTTGAAAGGATTGTTGTTTTCTCTTGGAGTTCGTCATACAAAGTCTATGCAGTTGTTTTGTGAAAGTCAGTCGGCCTTGCATATTGCTAAGAATCCGGTGTTTCATGATCGAATGAATCATATTGAGGTATGTCATTTCGTTTGTGATGAGTTATTGAAGGGTAATATTTCTAATTCATATGTTTCGACACATCATCAGTTGGCAGATATTCTTACGAAGGCTCTTGGACAACAACAATTTGGGTTTTTGTTACACAAGTTGGGCATTCGTAATTTACATGCTCCAACTTGAGGGGGAGTAATATAAGTCGGTTGGTTTTATGTTAATATGTATATTTGTCATGTATATCTTTTAGGAGTTTTAGGCAAGTTGGATCTCCTTTGTATTGTCCTATATATATTGCTGGGAATGTCAACACAAGGCTTAAACCGTTTTCTCCAATTGTTGTTGAGTATAACATACACATTCCACAGAAAAATTCAGAGAACCAGTAAAATCATCTGCACCCTTTTCACCTTCTTCCTCAAACCCCAAAGCAATACGCGCTTTGATTAATGCAGTTGGATTACGGGGAAAGCTATGAGGTACAACGCAACCATTTATAACAAGATTTGTTAATTTGGGAGCATCAATAGAAATCTGTTTAATACCGGGAACCAAAGCTAACTCCAATGACTTTAAATTGTGCAAAAATATATTCTGAGAAGATGTTGCATATAAAGGCGGTAGATCGGACGATATTTCAAACACTAGAGATAAATCTTCTAATAATGGGGCAAATTTGTATAAAGACCATAGTCAATCAGGCACATTGAAAAGGTAAGTTAAATAAAGCTTCTTCAAATTCGGAAGTTCAATTAAAGCCAATCGGACCAAACAATTGCAAATTTACCGGAGATTGACAATTAAGAACGCAATCAGGCATTGGAAAGAACGCTACTCCGTCTGTTGCACCTTGGTCAATGAGGATGAATTCTTCTACATTTCGGCGGCAAATATCATGAAAGCCATAGTCAATCAGGCATTGGAAAGAACGCTACTCCGTCTCTTCGGCCATTTTTGTTCCTGGATTTGCAATGGTTACTCTTGAGTAGTTGGGTTAGTCATCCTATAGGCTAGAATATGAGGGGTTTTGGGAGATGTAAATTAAATTTAAATTTCAAATACTTTGTGTCTTGTACGGAGTAGAAAAATTGGAAAAACATTCACTTGTCTTGTCACTCACACGCGATTGCCACTTTAAAATATTTCATCTATTTTATAATAATCGTAACATTTTAGCTAACACATACTCCCTCCGTTTTACATTAATCGCAACACTTTTCTTTTACATCGATTTCATACTAATTGCAACACTTTTATATTTGAAAAGGACCCACCATTAATTTATAATTTCTCTTTTCCACTAACTCCACTTTTACAAATCTAATATATATATATATATATATATATATATATATATATATATATATATATATATATACGGGATCCGGTAAAAATCACCCTTTATGTGAGAACTCACACATTATATGAGGACAAATCTCAGCCGCTAGATTAGATGAAATCCAACAGCTGTTATTTTCTCTCTCCTCTTTAGATTTTCTCTCTCTTCCTCCAGGTTCTCTGATATTCTACGCTCTTCCATTTCTTTGCTCTTCAATTTCTTTGCTTTTGCTCATCAATTTCTCGCAATAATTTGTTAAGATATGCAAATTTCAGTTTAATTTTGAAATTGATCGATTTTGAAACATGTTTTTGCGATTTTGATTTAGAAAATTAGGTTTTTTTTTTGCCAAAACCTAGTTATGCGATTTTCGATTGGGAAAATTCGAAACATCACAAAATCTTTATCATCCTTTGCTGTTCTTGTATACTTAAGGCATTGTAAGTTAATTTGATTTTGATTTTCGTTGTTGTCTATGATTTAATTCGAATTTTAAATCAAGATCGAGATTTCTTTATTATGTTGTTGATACAGGACTGCTGATCACACTAAATGGATAGGAGAATTCTACAAAAAACAGGATTTCATTGATGTCGTTGAGGTTAGTGACAATCGGAATGCCTTTAACTCAACGTTATGCTACTTGGATTTTGCAATTCTATCATACTACTATGCCAGAGTTTAGTTGGGGAAATTAACATTCATTTACTTAGACAAGTTTTTTTCTGTATAGTTTGCTATGTAGAAAGATCAAGTTGCTCCATTTAAGATACTAGTGGTGTCAGACTGTCAGCTACATGAATACTTAGCTCCAGTCCAGAAAAGGGAAGGAGTTGATAACTGATGAATCAATTGGTACAAACTCTATGCAAAAATCTCCTAATATGCTATAAGCTAGTTTGCCCTCAACTAATACAACCTTTTTGTGAGATGTAATTGAGATGTTTTACTGGTAAACAGAGAACAGTGCAGACCAATATCGTAACACAGTTAGGAAAAGGAACAAATTTACGAATTATTAAGGAGAAAACAAGCAAAAGTCAAAGGGTTCATGATGCCGCAAATGCTTCCTCCACAAAGGTATGTGTTGTTGAGTTGTAACATATGTTGATACCCTGATTATATTCATTTCATTTTCTTGTGGTTCCTTTTCTGCTGAATGCATATAGTATTTTCTCCTAATAACAATATCCTTTTCTGCTCAACTATATCGTTATTCAATTCTTATACATTTCTTATAATTGTAATATGATTTCTGCAATGTTTGAAATTTTTAGCACGAATTAGCCAAGGCAACTTCCTCTTGATCAAATAATAGGTGTTCCTTTTCCAACTTAACTTCAAACTTTTGTAAGTTATAAGTTAATCATGCTTCCTGTTGTATACATACTTGCAATACTTTTGCTTCTGATGCCAAGCTACACAAGCAGTGTCAATCAAGGAAGATACAAGTGCTTAGTACACAAGAATGTCGCAGTTAGCATTGGTGTAATAATTGATCACAGCACTCGTGTGGGAAAGGAACAGGAAATAGCAATGAAGATTGCAATTCAAGATGTTTATAGAGACAGCTGCATACAGCTGACATTGCATTTCAGAAATTCTTCTTAAAATTCTAATTCTGCCACTTCTACTGGTATGATTTTGCTGCTCCATTCCAAGAGAAGTTTCTATATTTGGATTTCTATATAGACTAACACATTTCCTGCTCAACACTACTAACTAAATACTTATCACTAGCATAGATCGTTTTTTTTGCGCATTTGGTACAATTTGTTAATCATGTTTCAGAAGCTGTCAAATGTCTGTGTAACATACGAAAAGGCTGTTAATCGGAAGCAGTGGGTGTCTTTTGTATTGTTTTCCCAATAGCCAAAAGAAATAATTTTCATTAACTACTCAAAATTTTCAAACTTTGCATTTTCACACTACTCTACATGCTAATTGAGCGTAGTTTGCTCATTTATGAAATGAGCAACCATTAATTTGCTCATTTTTCAAATAAGCAAATAATTAGTTACTCATTTGTAAAATAAGCAAACATTTCTTTGATCATTTGGGAAATGAGAAATCAAATTTTTGATCATTTGGGAAATGAGCAATCAATCATTTTATACTCATTTAGCAAATGAGCAAATAGTTAGTTGCTCATTTGTCAAATGAGCAAATAGTTAGTTGCTCATTTGTCAAATGAGCAAATAATTAGTTGCTCATTTGTCAAACGAGCAAATACTTAGTTGCTAATTTAACAAATGAGCAAAAACTTAGTTGCTCATTTGTCAAATGAGCAAATAGTTAGTTGCACATTTGTTAAATGAGCAAACATTTCTTTAATCATTCATTAAATCAACATATATTTCTTTGCTCATTAAAGTGTTAGAGGTATTAAAAAACAGTAGAAGTAAGTGTTAGCAATGATAAAAAGATAATTTTTTACAGTACCATTTGTGGTTATAATATATTTGTGAGTTACGAATCAAAAAAGTACACAATGATTGGAGAAAAGACGTGGTTAGTATGTCATATGTTGAGCCTTGAAGGTGGAATAAAAGATTTAAGATCACCTACCTTAGCTAGGTCTTGTGTAAAAGTGATTCTTTGTTCATTTATCAAACGAGCAAACAATTCTTTGTTCATTTATCAAATGAGCAAATAATTCTTTGCTCATTTAAATGAGCAACAATTCTTTGTTCATTATGTCGAATGAGCAAAAATTCGTTGTCCATGTACAAAATGAGCAAAGAATTGTTTGCTCATTTATCAAATGAGCACATAATTCTTTGCTCATTTATCAGACGAGCAAACAAACCTTTGCTCAGATATCAAATGAGCAACAATTCTTTGTTCATTTTGTCAAGTGAGCAAACAATTCTTTGTTGATTTATCAAATGAGCTGATTAAAAATTTATAACATAGAAAATGATTTAAAACATATGATAAACCTATTAGCTCAATTTGTAGAGCACTATGCAAATGCATAGGGGATGTAGGTTCAATTCCTACATAGGTTATCTCTATAAACAAAATTAATTAAAAAAAAAATCGTACTGAATTATATGAGCAAAAAAAATGGTTTGAAATTGATTTATAACTATATAAACTTTGTTACAATTAACTCTCATACAAACTTGTGTCTCTACATTACATTAATGAACATACGTGGGATTCGAACCCATATCTTTTGTGCATTTGCACAATGCTCTACCCTTGAGCTAGTAGGCTAACATATTTAAAACATTCAAACACACTCACAAATGAGCATTAATTTGAAAAAATGAGCAAGAATCATTTGCTCATTTGACAAATGAGCATTAAATAGTTTGCTCATTTGACAAAGGAGCATTGAAATTTTTTGCTCATTTTGACAAATTATTTGCTTATTTTTGACAAATTAGTAAAGAATAAATATTAATTTTTGACAAAATGTGATTCTTCCTAAAGTCAACTTGTCTTATGCAGACAAGGACACAAATAGTAACTAACATCAAAATAGTAACCAATAAAAAGCATATCAACTTCAGTCTTCTCTACCGTGAATGCTCTTGGATTGCTTCCCCGTGGGGATGCTACTAAGATTATATCATTGGCGACTAGCTTTCTTAAGTTGCAACAGTAGCTTTCTTCAACCTTTTTTTTCTTTTGACCAATTTGTTTAACAGATTCAATAGTATTTACTTCACTTGAAATAATTGAGAGGCTATATACTTCGAACAAAATTTTTCAATGATTATGACCTGCAAACAAATCAAAAGTGTAAGGAGAAAGAGAAAAAAAATGAAGCAATAAAATGAAACTACAAAATCACATTACTCGTTGTTTATCATATTGATTTCATTAGTCATCGGAATGTTATGAGGTTGAACAAATTAGCTATTAAATAAACTTGCAACAATTGATTCTATCATTGAATCATATGGATCTTTGGCTATTATTTATTGAACATATAGTTCGTACAAATGAGCAAAAGAGTTAGTTGCTCATTTCACAAATGAGCAAACATTTCTTTAATTATTCATTAAATCATAAAGCATTTCTTTGCTCATTTGTAAAATGAGCAACCATTAGTTTGCTCATTTGTCAAATAAGCAAATAATTAGTTACTTATTTGTAAAATAAGCAAACATTTCTTTGATCATTAGTTGCTTATTTTACAAATTAGTTAGGTTCTAATTTAGCAAATGAGCAAAAACTTAGTTGTTGCTCATTTGTTAAATGAGCAAATGATTAGTTGCTCATTTGTCAAATGAGCAAACATTTCTTTAATCATTCATTAAATCAACAAGCATTTCTTTGCTCATTTGTGAAATGAGCAACCATTAGTTTGCTCATTTGTCAAATAAGCAAATAATTAGTTACTCATTTGTAAAATAGGCAAACATTTCTTTGATCATTTGGGAAATGAGCAATCAAATTTTTGATCATTTGGAAAATGAGCAATCAATTTTTTACTCATTTAACAAATGAGCAAATAGTTAGTTGCTCATTTGTCAAATGAGCAAATAATTAGTTGCTCACTTGTCAAATGAGCAAATACTTAGTTGCTAATTTAACAAATAAGCAAAAACTTAGTTGCTCATTTGCCAAATGAGCAAATAGTTAGTTGCTCGTTTGTCTAATGAGCAAACATTTCTTTAATCATTCATTACATCAACAAGTGTTTCTTTGCTCATTTGTGAAATGAGCAATCAATTATTTTCTCACTTGACAAATAAGCAAATATTTCTTTACTCATTTGAATAATGAATTATTTGTTCATTTGACAAATGAGCATTGAATTGTTCAAATGAGGAAACAATTATTTGCTCATTTGACAAATGCGTATTGAATTGTTCAAATGAACAAAAAGGTCATTTTGTTTTGTATACTATAGATGGAAAACGGTTTATGATCCCTTTGTCATATTTGAAGAGCGAGGTGTTTAGGGAGCTGTTTCGGATGGCAAAAGAAGAGTTTGTGAGAGTGTGTATCAACTAGAAGTACCTGTAGAAACTACCTATTTTAGGAAGCTCTTGGCAACAAAGTATTTGTTCTAAGGAAGGGAGAATTAAAGCTTTATGCTGGTCAGCCACTTGCTGATGTTGAGGTTGCTTTGAGGTCATTGGTAAAATGAGCATCAACAGTCAATTTTGCTCACATTTATGCTAACTACTTTGGGAAGCTTGTTCTACTTATGTTGTTCTATAATAAATCAATTTTACAAAACGCAACAACAAGAAACAAGACCACCACACTCAACTAGAAAAACTACATGCTAAGAAAACAAGCCATCCCAAATAATCAACATTTATAGCAGCAGTACAATAAAATAGGACTCTCCATCAAGCAACAACTAAGCATGAACACTTACAGTAGATTCTGCAGCACAAGCAAGAAGCAAATTTTGATTTTACAAACTTGTAACCACAACAAGAAACAACAAAAGAAATTAATAAAAGGAAAACAATTTGTCTACAACAATAATCTTCATTCCAAGTAATTCTATAGATAGGTAGAAGCAAGCATTATATTTAACTGATTTGAAGAACTAATAGGCCCTAAAACAGGATCATGTCAAACATAAACATTAAGAACACAATACATGAGCAAAACCTCCTCACCTACTCACCATCGCCACCGTAGGAGACCCACTCGAAATTTTGAAAACCTCCTCACCTCATTCTTCCGACCAGTCTACCACTGCCCACCACGGAACCACCCTCCTCCAAACCCACACATAATCCCACCCACAAAGACCCACGTCCAGCCAACCACAACTCCACCCACCCAACCCGTACATCAACTCTCCCTCATTGCTAATCACACCCACCACCAACAACAATGCCCCCTTGCCCAACCCACTACTCCCTCCTAAACTCATAAACACCAAGAACCGCATTAAGTAAGCTGCTGCTGCGACTCTAATCAATCAGATCATCATTCTATCAAATCACATAAAACCATTTTAATCATACAATTCGCCTAATTAGTTAAAAAAAATTTAGTTGTTGAGGAGATAATTCGTAACAATTAAAGGCAAAAGCTCCAAAATTAATAAGTCTTTTTAGTTTGAAGAAGAATTGATGAAGAATCAAAGCAAATAGCAGTTGAAAGGGACTAGAGAAATTGAAGGAGGAGAGAGAAAATGGAGTGTTGAATGAAGGAGGAGAGAGAAAACGCTAGAAAATTATATTTGAAATTATGTTTGATGGGATAAATTGTAGCCATTAGATGCAATTGATCCAACGGTTGTAACATGTCCGCACATATAATAGGGTTCTCACTTAAGGAATGTGGTCTCATATGATCTCATTTCTCTCTCTCTCTCTCTCTCTCTATATATATATATATATAGGGGAGGGATCCGGTAAGAACCCTTCTTTATGTTCTAAACTTTTTTCTGCTTATGTTCTAAAGTTTTCCTATGTTCTAAATCTGTTTTACTATATTCTATATTATTTTTTCAGCTTATGTTCTAAAATTTTTCCTAGGTTTTAAATTATTTTTTCAGCTTATGTTCTAAATTTTTTCTTATGTTCTAAATTATTTTTCATATGTTCTAAATATTTGTTAGTTTATGTTCTAAATTTTCCTATGTTCGAAATTTTTTTTTTCCTATATTCAATATTATTTTTTCCGCTTATGTTCTAAATTATATTTTTCAACTTATGTTCTAAATTTTTTTCCTATGTTCTAAATTATTTTTTCAGCTTATGTTCTATATTAGTTTTCATATGTTCTAAATGTTTGTTTGTTTATATTCTAAATTTTTCCTATGTTCTAATTTTTTTTTCCTATATTCTATATTATATTTTCAGCATATGTTCTAAATTTTTTCCTATGTTCTAAATTATTTTTCATATGTTTTAAATGTTTGTTTGTTTATGTTCTAAATTTTTCCTATGCTCTAAATTTTTTTTCTTATATTCTATATTATTTTTTCAGCTTATGTTCTAAATTTTTTCCTATGTTCTAAATTATTTTTTCAGCTTATGTTTTATAATTTTTTCCTATGTTCTAAATTATTTTTCCTATGTTCTAAATGTTTGTTTGCTTATGTTCTAAATTTTTCCTACGTTCTAAATTTTTTTCCTATATTCTAAAATTTTTCTTATGTTCTAAATTTTTTCCTATGTCCTAAATCATTTTTTTAGCTTATGTTTTAAATTTTCCTATGTTCGAAATTATTTTTTCAGTTTATGTTCTAAATTTTTTCCTATGTTCTAAATTATTTTTCATATAATCTAAATGTTTTTTTTTGTTTATGTTCTAAATTTTCCTATGCTCTAAATTTTTTTCCTATATTTTATATTATTTTTTTAGGTTATGTTCTAAATTTTTTCCTATTTTCTAAATTATTTTTTCAGGTTATGTTCTAAATTTTTTCCTTTGTTCTAAATTATTTTTAATATAATCTAAATGTTTTTTTTGTTTATGTTCTAAATTTTTCCTATGCTCTAAATTTTTTTTCCTATATTCTATATTATTTTTCATGTTATGTTCTAAATTTTTTCCTATTTTCTAAATTATTTTTTCAGCTTATGTTCTAAATTTTTTCCTTTGTTCTAAATTATTTTTCCTATGTTCTAAATGTTTGTTTGCTTATGTTCTAAATTTTTCCTATGTTCTAAATTTTTTTCCTATATTTTGAAATTTTCCTTATGTTCTAAATTTTTTCTTATGTTCTAAATTCTTTCCAACGTTCTAAATTTTTTCCTATGTTCTAATTTTTTTCCTATGTTCTATACTATGTATTATGTTACAAAATTTTTCTACCTATATTCTAATTTTTTTCCCTATATTTTATAAATGAACCTACGTGGGATTCGAACCCACATCTTATGTGCATTTGCACAATGCTCTCCCGTTGAGCTTGTAGGCTAATGTATATAAAAACTTTAAACTACAAAATTACTAAAAACTAAATAAAAAAAATCTCAAAAGTAAATTACACATAAGCTGGTTACGACATAGAAATGACTAGCTGAATATATGTAGTGATATTTTAGAACACATGCAATAAAAGTTTGAACATGTACCAATATTAATCGAAAAAATTGATTATATTCTTTAGAACATAGTAAGATAACTTTAGAATATATAAAACATAGTAGAGAGAAAACTTTAGAACATGAAAGGATAAACTTTAGAACATATAGGCTAAATTTTAGAGTATAAAGGGAAACTTTAAAAAAATATAGGGTAAACTTTAGAACATAAAGAGTAAAATTTAAAACATATAGAAAAACTTTAATACATAAAAGGATAACTTTCACTAGTAGAAAAGTGTAAATCGGCACCAGTTCAAAACCGGTGTTGATTTTGGGGAGAAATATCAAGCTAAAGTAAAAGTAATTTGTATTATGCATGTAAGACTATAAGAGTATTGGCTAGTGTGAGTAAATAAAACAAAAGGTGTTGCAATACTTCTGAAATAATCCGTGCAATTAGATTTAGTGGTTACTAAGCTTTCATGAAGCATGGGACACATTTTGGCAAAGTTAATAATCAGTAAACAATAATATAGCCCCACTTCATGCAAAGGAACATTATAATATATGACAGCAACACAAGAAAAGCAAGACAAAGAAAAGGAAACCAAAGTTGTGCTAACAAAAGTTCTTGGATTAGTTTACCCTTTGTGTGTGAAGATATCAGCATCAAGCAATAAGAGTGAGCTATTGCTTCAAAGTTTAATGATAATTTATCTGAAAGATTGGCCAGTATTCAAAAGACAGAAAGCAATTGCACAACTGATCTTCACTCAGCTTTATTATATAAGTTTCCTGTAATAATTAAAGTCATTAGAAACACCTCAATAAAAGTTCCTGCACTACTTGAAAATCAGTCCAAATTAACCAATTAAAAATCACAATTAATTCCACCCATTTTACAATTTACATAACACAAGGTCTGCTTAAAACCAACCATTATCACTCAATTTGTTACTAAGCTGAATGATGTGGAGTGAACCCAAATATCAATCAAATAATAAACAGTAAAAGAATGAATTGCTGCCCATTCCTAGCTTAATTTTATTGCTGCCTATAAAGACAAAATTGAGTGGAAATGAAACTCCATGGAAAAGCATTTATACGATACCATTCCTAGCTTAATTTTATTGCTGCCCAAACACAAAAACAAACTAATCTTGACAACTATGAAACCACAATTAAGCAAAATCGATCTAAATAAATCGAACAAAAATTTAAAAAAATTTAAAAAAATAAAAAAAAAAACCCAAACTGATGAATTGCAATTTTCGAACAGATAAATAATGAACAAAGAAACTAAAAAAATTGAATAGAAATCGCAAAAAAGAAACAAAAATCGCAAAGGAAATCGAACAAAAATCGCATAAAAATCAGGAAAAAAATTTCACAGGAAATCGCAAAAAAAAAAAAAAAAGAAATAATATAAAGCAACACAATCGAACACATAAATTCAATAATAGAGAGAATAGTAATCATAAGTATAGAATAGCAAACCTTAATTTCTTAAAGTTAACCCTAATTTCTTGAACGAATTTGCAGCCAAAATTATGAGAGAAAAGGGAGAGAGAAAGATGTATCAAGGCTAGACTCTAGAGAAGTAGAGAGAGAGATTATGCGTGGAAGAGGAAGGGTTGGGATAAGTTTCCCTTAAAATTACTAAAATGCCATTACTACTATATTCATTTTGGGCGGTCCGATCTACACGAATTCTACGGTTCAGATTGGTTCTTATATAATATTGGGTTCTTATACAGAGGAGAATTCTTACATGAGCATTCCTCTATATATATATATATATATATATATATAGGGGAGGGATCCGGTAAGAACCCCTCCTTATATAAGAACCCTAGTTATATAAGAACCAATCTCAGCCGTAGGATTAAGGTAATTTAGACGGTTAAGATTAAAACACGTATTTTTCCTTATACCCTCTACCAACCGATCAAAATTTTCTCTCTCCTCTAACTTTCTCTCTCTTCGTGTTCATCACATTCTCTCTCTGCAAACCCCAAAAATCTCCATAGAAATTGCAATTTGAAGGATTTTCGACTCAGGTTTGTTTTTTTTTTCGATTTTGTTCAAATTTCCATGAACTTAGCATGATGTTCATAGATTTTGCGATTTTTTGATTTGATTTTTGCGATTTTATGTTTCCGATTTTTTGATTTGATTTTGCGATTTTGTGATTTGATATTTGCGTTTTTCTGTTTTGATTTTAATGAATTTCGCATGGAGTTTGATTTTTTTGAGTTCGATTTTTTCAAATTTCGCGTTCGAATTTAGGGTTCTTTTTTTGCGGATTTAGGATTCTAATTTAGGGTATTCGAATTTAGGATTTAGGATTCAACACACAACAAACCGCTTGTATAGCACAATGATTATATTAGTGGCTTTGCAGCCATTTTTCCCTGCTTATATTCATTGAATCATTGCTGTAATGCTCTGTATCAATTTTGATTCATTGATTAAATATATCAGGTTTTGGGTAATTAAACTCGTGTTATTAAAATTGAAAAGCATTTATTTTTTTCCTTTTTTTGTTGGTCATTAGTTCAGTTCATAGCAGTAGTCATCCAAATTATGGTGTAACAACTACTTGTGTATAATGCCTACCCCGATACACTCAAGAATAAGAATAAGTTCTGTTAAAAATTGTTTGTTAAGTAAACAATTCAGGCTAAACAAAACTTTTAAACTCGATTAATGAGCAAGCATAGCTTGAACAACTTGGCATTACTTGTTCTGCTTGCATCAATTCGTCATGTCTAAAAACAAATCTGGCTTATTCTCTATGTTCTATTTTTTCTTATTTTTGCGGATCTATAGTTCGAATTTAGGGTTCAATTTTTGCTGATTTTTTCGAATTTTGATTTCGAAATTGGTGATGTTGGTGCGATTGCCCCTGCTTGTAGGGGTTGTGGTGTGGTGGTTGATTTATGCAACAACAGCTAATTGGTTAGGGGTTGTTGGTTGTGAACTTGTGATTGCAGGGCTGAAAATAAACTTTAGAACATAGGTAGAAAAAATTTGGAACATAGAAAAAAATTAGAACATAGGTTGAAATAATTTAGAACATGGTGTTGATCTTTCCACGTTGTTCCTGTCGATATGTTTATAGAATGTCAATGTTATGATCTAAAATACACTTTTAAGATACGCAAGCAACTGACATAGCTTAGCATGTTCTAAACTCTTTTTAAGCATGTTCTAAACTCTTTTAGAACATGGTGTTGATCATTGTGGAAATATATGAAGTAACCAGCATTATTCGTTCAACACTTCTGGTTATTCTCCATTTTGTTTTATGGGAAGTTTTGAAGCTACATGTGGTGCTCTTCCATTCTGGTCTAGACTGGTCCTCTTCTCTTTTGTGAACTATAATGATTTGGTGTTGACTGTTGTTGCCTAGCTGGGTTTGCTCTTTTCTGTTTCTTGCTCCTATCTGTGTCCTGCTCCAGCTTTCCTGCTTTGTGCTGTTATGTGCAGCTGTTGCTTGGTGTGCAGGCTGGCTTTCTCTGTTTCAGGCTGCTGTTTGTGGTGCTGGTTCAGGCTGTGATGCCTGCCTTGCTGTGTGTTGCTAGCTGTTTCCTGGTGCTGCTGGTGCTGTTCTTGGTGTTAGCAGCCTAGTCTCCTGCTAGCTGCTGTTTCTTTGTGCTGTGTTGCTGTCTGGTGCTGCAGCTGGCCTTCTGGGCTCGGGTTGTTGCTGTTGTCCGTTTGGTGGTGCAGCTGGTCTGCTGAGGTCTGTTTCTGGTTGCTGCTGCTGTTGTAGGTTGGTGTTGCTGGTTCCACTTGCTGCTGCTGTTTCTGCTTGCTGTTATTGCTGTTTCCTGTTTTTGTTCGGGTTTTTTTTGGCAGTTTCTAGGCGTTGGTGTTTTGGTTTCTATTTGTTATTTTATCTTTGGCCTTTTCTTTTGTTCCCCATTTCTGGCAATAATAAAGAGTATAGTTCATTCTATATTATGGGACTGCTTTAGCCTTCATTTTTGTGTTGTCGATATTCTTCGCATTCAACTGTCTTGTTTTGGTAGGACAATAAGCTGGTGCATTCGAAAGTCTGAGCCTCTTATTGGAATTCCAATGGTTAAGGTGATGACTTCCCGTCTTGGGTCAGTAAACACAATGAACTGTCAATTAAACTTTCAGTTGTGTGTTGCAGGGATTATGCTCATTCAGGAGCGGCATGTTTAATTATGCTTAACTAAACCTAGATTATGTAACGGTAATGACACGATTGGAGCATTGTCTCATATTAGGGAAAGGTTAATTCACGGCTAACCTTTGATTCAAATACACCTAATTCCTACATTGAGTGCCGTTACTTACTCGTTACATTCTACTATCCCAAATTTTGCACAAATTATTGACATTGTTACTAATAAAACTTTAGAACATAGTTAGTAAAAATTTAGAACATAGAAAAGAAAAACAACTTTAGAACATAAGTAGACTAAATTTAGAATATAGGCAAAACAATTTAGAACATAGGTAAAAGAATATTTAGAACATAGGAAAAAAAAAACTTTAGAACATAGGTAGAAAAAACTTTAGAACATAGGTGTAGAATATACGAACAACTTTAGAACATAGGAAAAATTTGGAACATAAGAAAATGATTTGCAACATAGTAAAAATTTAGAACATAGGAATATAGAACATTGGGAAAAAAAAAAAGATCATAGGAAAAAAAATTGGAAATTTAGAATATTGGGAAAAAAAAAAGAGCATAGAAAATAAGTTTAGAACATATACTAAAAATTTAGAACATACGGTGAAAAAAATTAGAACATAAGGTAAAAATTTAGAACATATGATAAAGTTTAGAACATAGATAGAAAAAATTTAGAACGTACGGAAAAAAAAATAGAAAATAGGTAGAAAAATTTTTGAACATAGGATAAAATTTAGAGCATACAGAAAAAATTTAGAGCATATGAAAAAAATTTAGAACATACGAAATAAATTTAGAACATAGACAAAAAAATTTGAATATAAGATATATATTTAGAACATGGACAGAAAACTTTAGAACATAAACAATAAAATGTAGAACATAGGAAAATAGTTTAGAACATACATATATTTAGAGCTTAGATTGAAAAATTTAGAGCTTAAGCAATAAATTTTAGAACATATGCAAATAATATTTAGAACATATGATAAAACCTATTAGCTCAATTGGAAGAGCATTATGCAAATGCATAGAGGATGTAGGTTCAATTCCTTCATAGGTTATCTTTATAAATAACTAAAAAAAACTTTAAATGTTTTTTTTTTTAAAAAAAATCCAATAAAACAAATTAAATTAGCACTAAGTTATATGAGCAGAAAATAAGTAGACTAAATTTTGAACATAGGAAAAAAAAAAACTTTAGAACATAAGTAGACTAAATTTAGAACATAGGAAAAAACAAATTTAGAACATAGGTAAAAGAATATTTAGAACATAAGAAAAAAAAAAAAACTTTAGAACATAGGTATACTTAGGTTAATTGATTAGCATTATTATACTTCGTATCAATGTTCTAAATTACATGTTCGATTATTCATGATCATGTTCTAAATTTAAGTGTCGTATGTTCTAAATTTAGGTGTCGTATGTTCTAAAGATGTTCTGGCTGGGTGCGGCATGTAGAGGAAGTTCAGGGGAGATCCTTTTGTGTGCTGCGTTTCAGAGCTTAGAAAAGTGGTAATCGGGGGTGGGGGAAGCCAAGGCTGTTTTCTAGGGGCTACATATGGCGAAGGGGACTGAATTCATATTATGAAGGTTCCAAATGCTCGTTTTTTATGTAGTTTGTGCTGCTAAATGGTAAACATTTGTGGTTGAAATTGTGGAATTACGTAGGATGTTGTTATGAAGTGAAAAAGGTTCCAAATGCTCGTTATTTACCAGAAAAGAAATAAGATATGAGGAATATCCTGCAATATTCTTAGATACTCGATTTTTACAGATAATTAAGCTCAAAACCTTTGAAATTTATGTGATTTCCCTACTCAAATCACCCAAACTCCAACCCAAGTCCCCTTACTCTTTCTCTCAACTTCAAAATTTTGCTCTGATTTCTGATTTTATACCAGGTATTATTTCTTTCTCTAAACTTGTTAATTATACCATAATTGAAGCTTTTTAATCCAATTGATTTGACAAATTTAAGCTATAATGTGTTACTTGAATTCAGAATACTTAAAAATGTAATGGGTTGTTGAAAGATTTGTGTTTTATGAGTTGTTTGTTGTCATTTGTTTATGCCTGCTACTTGTTTGCTAATTTGTCTGTGTGAAAAAGGTTCCAAATGCTCATTTTTTCTGTAGTCTGTGCTGCTAAATGCTAAATACGAAGGGGACTAAATTCATTTTATGAAGTGAAAACCCTCCCGGAGTGGATTAGGAAACTCACCCACCTACACTGCCTTTCAATTAGAAACTGTCCAGACTTAATAACACTTCCTGAGTCACTTTGTGACCTATCTGCTTTACAAAGGCTTTAGATTTAATGTTGCCCACTGCTCAAACCATTTCCCAATTCTGTAGGTGGCATGGGGTCTTTAAAACAGCTTAAGGTTCCACAATGTCCAAAGCTATTTAAAAGATGGAGGACAGATGGTGAGGATTCTTCTATCATACTAAAGGTCCCTTATCTCATTTTTAATGACTGATGTATGTATAGCCTTTTTTTGTGTGTATAATTGTATATAATTGTACAATTTTTGGTTTTAGATTACTAATTTCTCAGTTTCCGACTACCCATATTTCATTATGTGGTGTACTCGTGTTTATATATGATGTCTACTCATTTTTATATTAGTTTATATGAATAAGCTAATATTACTAGAATACCCATATTTCATTATGTTGGTTTGGTTTGGTTTTGCAACTAATTATGCAATTTTCAGAACGGAATCAATGGATGAACATCCAACTCTATATTTTCCTCTGTCAGACTGATTGTAATTTATTTGATAATACTTCCTAGTAGTAGTTGTGTTGGGTAATTTGTAAGCATGTGTTGGGTAATTTATGAGCTATGGTGGTTGTTGTAGTAATAATGGAGGCATTTGAGTTTCTACATGTGATTGTTTTCCTCTGCTTCTATGGGAGGGCGTTGATCTATATCAAAAAACTATTAGCTCAAATGGTAGAGCACTATGCAAATGCAGAGATGATGTAGGTTCGAATCCTACATAGACTATATTTATAAATAACAAAAAAAAAAAAAAACTTTAAAACATAGGTAGTAAAAATTTAGAACATAGGAAAAAAAAACATTAGAACATAAGTAGACTGAATTTAGAACATAAGCAAAAGAATTTAGAACATAAGTAGACTAAATTTAAAACATAGGAAAAAAAATTTATAACATAGGTAAAAGAATATTTAGAACATAAAAAAAAAAAAAAAAAAAAACTTTATTAAAATATAGGTAGTAAAAAATTAGAACATAGGAAAAAAAAAACTTTAGAACATAAGTAGACTGAATTTAGAACATAGGCAAAAAGAATTTAGAACATAGGTAAATGAATATTTAGAACATAGGAAGAAAAAAAACTTTAGAACATAGGAAAAAATTAGAGCATAGGTTGAAAAAATATAGAATATTGGAAAAAAAAGCTTTAGAACATAAGTAGACTAAATTTAAAACATAGGTAAAAGAATATTAGAACATTAAAAAAATAAATAAAAAAAAAATAAAAACTTTAGAACATAGGAAAAAAAAACTTTAGAACATAAGTAGACTGAATTTAGAACATAGGCAAAAGAATTCAGAACATAGGTAAAAAAATATTTTAAACATAGGGAAAAAAAACTTTAGAACATAGGTAAAAAAAAATTAGAACATAGAAAAAAAACTTTAGAACATAGGTAAAAAAAATTAGAACATAGAAAAAAAACTTTAGAACATTAGACTAAATTACAGTGTAGTGAATTGATTAGATGTAATTTGCAGCATTAGTAGACTAAATTTAGAACATAGGTTGAAAAAATTTAGAACACAGGAAAAAAAAACTTTAGAACATAAGTAGACTAAATTTAGAACATAGAAAAAAAAATTTTGAACATAGATAAAAGAATATTTAGAATATAGGTAAAAGAATATTTAGAACGTAAACAAAAAAAAAGAAAAAAAAAAAAGAAACTTTAGAACATAGGTAGTAAAAATTTAGAACTTAGGAAAAAAAAACTTTAGAACATAAGTAGACTGAATTTAGATCATAGGCAAAAGAATTTAGAACATAGGTAAAAGAATATTTAGAACATAAGAAGAAGAAAAAAAACTTTAGAACATAGGTTGGAAAAATTTAGAACATAGGAAGAAAAAAAAAAAAAAAAAAAAAAAAAAAAAAAAAAAAAAAAAAACTTTAGTATATAAGTAGACTAAATTTGGAACATAGAAAAAAAAAATTAGAAAATAGGTAGACTAGATTTAGAACATAAGAGTAGGCAAAAAAATTTAAAACATAAAAAAAGAATTACAGAAATGCCATTATTAAAGGATGGTTTTAGATGGTTGGATCAAAACTAATAAATGGTTGAGATTGGTTCTTATATAAGATTGAGTTCTTATATAGAGGAGGGTTCTTACATGAGCCTTCCTCTATATATATATATATATATATATATATATATATATATATAAAGTAGGCATTTTTGAAAAGTATTTGAAGCGCCACATAAGTAAGGGTATTATTTCGACCAATTAAAAATTAGATTTCTATTTTATTTTAGAGTTAAAAAAATCATTTGCAACCTAAGCAAAATTAACGAATGAAATTTGAGAGTTTAAATTCATTTATCTCATAATTATATTAGATATAAATTCATAATATATTTGTTTGCTCTTTTAAGTTTTTTTAAATTTAAGTAAATCATTTGTCATTACCTATTTCAATATATTTTTTATCATGGTTTCGTATCAAAGATAAAACTTTTATTGCTATAATTATATAATTATTTCATTCATAGATCATATATCTAATTTATTTTATAATATAAAAATAACACAACTTAAACAAAATATTTTATATGGAAGCTAAAATATGTTATATACTATACAACTTAATATCACTACTACATTTTCGATCAAATTCAACGCCAAAAATTGAGCTATTGCAACGCCCTATCCAAATGTCGTGGCAATAGATAGCCTTTTGCAACGGTATTTTTATTGTCGTTGCAACAGAGTAGGCTATTGCCACGGCTCTAAAGAACCGTTGCAATAGCCTAGATATTTTAACAAAAATGAAAGCTAATGCAACGGTAGTGTTGTATCATGAAAATTTTAGCTAAATTGAAGCGCGCATTGTTCCCTCTAATTTTTTCACCAAAATTTTGAACAAACACGTGTTTACTTTTCTCACCCATTTTCTCCCCTCATTCTCACAGTACCTATTCTCACCCTATTTCTCCATTTCCTCAATTTCCCCCAATTCTCCGTTTTCACAATTTCCCCCAATTCTCTAGTTTCCCCATCATCATCTCACATAAATAAGCAAGGTAAACAAAAATTCTGAGGCCGATTTTGAGGTGAAAATCACGAAAAAAATCATTCAAAAATTCGAAGAGGAAAATAAGCAAATAATTATGAGGAAGTAGTAGACGAAGGCGGCAGTCAGGATCGGAGGTGGTGGCTGATAGCGGCAGTCAGGCGGTGGTGGCTGATAGTGGCACAGACGGTCTCAATTTCATTGTTGCATGTCCCTTCCTTGAGCTGATTGCTCAAAATTCTGTTCAAGGTAAACAATGAATTTCGACAATTTATCTCTCTTTTTTCCTCTTTCTCGCTACTTTCTCTCCCCTTTCAATTATTGCTCCAATTTCGACAATTATACACTTAAGAAGTTTCAATCAATTGACAATTTAATGTTAATCAAGAACATCATCATCGTCCGTGGTAGTTGGTGAGAGTGATTTGCTAATTGTTGGACCTGGTGTTCTTGGTCACTTGGTAGCTCAACAATGGAGTCAGGTATAATCGCTATTTATATTGTATTTCTACCTCTATTTCTTTCGTTTGTAAAACATTTAATTCCTTGAGAACTGTCAGGTTAATTTCTTTCGTTTGGGATTCTCGCCTTTATGTTCTTGCCAGGTTCCTTCTTTTATATTTAATTTCTGATTTTTAGTAGATTTTGTTATAAATTTTTTATCACATTGTTAGTATTTTGTTTGATTATTGGTAAATTAGTAGATTTTTAACTTGCAAATAAGTGTGCTTTTGGTTGTTTTGTTGGTTATGGTAATGCAAATGTTATGGTATAGGTAATGACAGTAGATTACTATAGTTGGTGTTATAATGTCAAGTAACTGGTGCTTATAGACGATTCATGTTGGAATTGGTTAAGGGCATTGCGTTTCTTTTGGGCGCGATAGAGCAAAATAGTATATTAATACTTCGGAAATGAAGATGGTTACTACTTATTAGTATATTACAATTTAGAAAAGCTGAACTATGTGTTTGGGGAATGGGGTGCAATGGGATTGGGGTCTTGATAAAAAAATTTCGTATGAGACAAGTGTGTTATGTTTTGGAGTCAGGTAAAATCGCTATTTCTATTGCATTTTGGCTTGATTAGCAATACTTTGGTACCGAATTGTATAATTTACCCAAACTTGTTTTTTTTTTTTTTTTTTGTTTGGATGAAATTCAAAGTTTATGTTGCTGTAGTGTTGTGTTTGTTTTTTATAATTGTATTGTGGTGTCGAGGTTGGGGTACTGGGGAAGCAGGAATGGGGAGAAGGGAGGGCGGTTGGCAGTGGCCAAGGGGAAGGTGGGTAAGGGGAGTGGCTGGGCTTATAATTTTATTTAAGTGTTTATAATTTGTTTTTTATTTATTTATTTTTTTATTTTTTGAGCTAGGCCCTAGGAAGAATTTTACAGATTTCTTTTAAGAAAAAATCAAATGTCATAATTTGAATTTTCAAATTTATTTGAACCTTGAATAAAATTGCCCAGAACTTTATAACGTTCACCTAGTGTTCATCGTAATGTTTGAGTGGGAGTTAGGCCGTTGTATATTTGATTTCTATGGTAAATGCCAATGGTTTCATTCTTTGTGTAGCTTTATTGGGTATAAACTTTCATACAAGGCTGTGTAGCTTTAATTGTCACCCTTTTGAGTGTATGATTGTTTCTGATTTTCTGAACATTGGTCTCTTTGATGTATCTAAGCTTAAAGATAGGATAACAAGGCACAAGTATTACTAATTTATACTCCTTTTCTCTAAAATATCTAGAGAAAACTATTATTTTGATGCTATACACATTTCTGCAGTTTAACAATTTTTTGGTATTTTTATATTCAGAAAACCATCCCAATTTTTTTTATAAGAAAAAGTTAGTTTTTTTAATTATTATTATTATTGGTCATCGTTAGGAGTATTGAGTTTTTTGCTTTTTTCTAAAGATTTATGTGTGTTTGAATAAGTTTAGTTCCTGACATCTAATTTTTAACTTGTTCGGGCATCTGTTTAGCTTCAATGGACAATTCCATTAGTTTTCTGCTGGTGGGTGGGAAACAATTTTCAAATTTCAACCAAGTAACAACCCCTCTGGTTAAAACTTTAAGTAGTATAGTAGTACATATAAGTATATAGCTAGATATATTATACAAGTTAGTATTCAAGTAGCTTTAATGGAGGAGGGGAGAATAACTAATAAAATTAACCCAATCTAAGGAAAAAATAAAAATAGGTCATGAAACAAAGAGATATATTATATAAGATGAACTGATAACTATATATATATATATATATATATATATATATATATGTCTAAATTTCAGATTTTTGCTACTATATACAATGAAGTATAACATGTTAACAACATTTGTTCTTGCATACAAGAGGCACAAGCAAAAATAATTAAAAAGTCAGAGTTCATAAATTAGAAAATAATTAAAGTTAGATCCACTATAAAGGACAGTAGTACTTCACTATATTGTGTGGTTTCTTATAGTAACTAACATATTGTCGTTGATTCCTCCTCATTAGTTATGGCATACAATATTAAAAATGTAGCGAAAGATAATTCTTTTATATAAAAATAAGTGGTAAATGACATGCAGTGGTTAATAATTTGTGAATATGTTATATTAAGACTAAACTAGTACATAAGTAGATTGCTACTGGTGAGATTTGTGTGTTGTCGAAATAGTAAAATTGATATGTTCCTTACTACTTGTGTAGCTGTGTGTAGGCTGATACACAATTAGGTGGATTGAATCAGAATTAGATGGGCCATGTCAATCAATTTGTGCTTCATTGATTAATTACTACTTATACTTTGCAAACTCCTTGTGTTATTGAAAATATATGGAGTACGAACTTGACCATATTTATAATATACTCTTATAAATCCGTGTGTCCAAAAGAGATAAAGGGTTGTATTTTTAGGGATAGAGGGGAAAGGGAACCCATTGAAGCTCTGAGATAGCTTAACATTACTCCAGTCATGGGTGGGAACACAGGGGAATTGTTGGGAGCCTTGACAGTCAGCACCCCACAACTTAAATGGAACTTTTGGTCCCCTAGAATACTTTTCTGGTTCAGGGCCTAACTTCAATTCTTGTTAAATTAGTTTTACTTGTTAAATCTGGGAGTAATTTAGTTTATGAAGGCAATATAGACAATGTGAATGTGATAGCTTTCTTTAGAGAGGATGTTGGGATGTTACTCTTTTTTTTGTTAACATGAGGTCGCGCTCACAAGCGCTTGCTGTACAATCCCTGTTTAGTTATAGCTGGTACCCTTTTCCATCCCCATATTTCTAATTTTTGGTTGCATTTTACTGAAATTTATGATTATAGTTGATCTATTTGGATATTTATTTTATTGTGTTAGAGTTGGTTCAATGAGTTTTTATTTCTTGCTCTAATTTTGTCAAAGTTTATTGTATAGCTGAATTTATATATTAGGGGGATGTGTTTGTTACTTGTGGGTTGCTGTGATTTGCTGTCAATATAGAATATTAAGGTCATTGATTATAAAGTAAACTAACTTTGAATTCTTTGGCATATTGAAACACTGGGTGAATTCGGATTGTGGCCTTGAAGGTTGGTAATATGAACCATAGGGTGATTCTTCATGCGTTTTAAACTTTTCTCGTGTTGATTGTGGCATTGGTCTATTATAATTTATAATTTACTTCTATTATATTTCAATATATTATTCTATTTTACGTGTAGGTGCATGGGGAGCTAAATGAAACGGAAGTATAGTGACTAGTCATCTAACAAATGGTGCATATATGTTGGCGCTTATTCAAGTTCAACTTTGTGAAGATTTGAAAATTCCGGCTTATATATATGTTGACAATTTGTATTTTGGACGATTAAATTAATTATGTAACTTTTATTTTTTATTAGTAGGGTGTCATACCAAAAATAAGCAAGTAATATTTTGTAATGTACGTATGTCGCATTATAATTATTATATATAAATTAAATAATACTTTGTTTTGGTTAGTATATTTGGATTTGTACTGACTAATTATACATATATTAAATTACCATTCCAAAAAAAAAAAAAAAAATCAAATGATCAATCCGTTGCAGTAGATACGTATTACTATCATTGTAGTAATTAGCTTCATCCGTTGCAATAGGTTCAATTTCATCATAATTATTAGTCAGTACCCTATTGCCACAGATAAGTTATGTCGTTGCAACAGGTATAGGTCTATTGCCACGGATCATTGGTGTCGTGGCATTAGGTGTCATATGTCGTTGCATTAGACCTACTGCAACGCCAGCAGATGCCACGGTACATGGCCGTTACATTAGGCCCAATGCCACGGATTTTGACGCCTAATGCAACGGATTTGGGGGTTGCAATAGATAAAAAATGTAGTAGTGATATGGAACTATAATATGTTATAAATCCTACAATATTATAATTTATGTATGCCTTATGTCTTTTATTTGATACGTTGGTATGATTTATAAAAAATAAAAAAAAGTTGGTTAGAAAAAAATATAATAAAAATAGTTAATAACTTTTTTATGATAAGATTTTTGAAAAGATATAATATACTACTCCAACTCATAATATTTATATAAATGATAAATATAGATAGCTTTTCTATGATAAGAAAGAAAAGAAAAAAAAAACAAAAAAAACCCTCATACATTTATAATAGAATCACTGTGTCATTGTACTTACAGTTGACACATCATACAAAATCACATCAAAAAAATTTTGCATCAGTTTTAGGTCATCAATAGTTGCGTAATTGTTAGTTTAATTTTTAATACATATTTAAGTTTATACTTGCAATTGTTTTTCTAATTATTATAATTTTTTTAACAGATCAGATTAATTAGAGAAGGCATTTTTGTAAGTTCATTTACAATCTATTTATAAGGTTTGGAATTGATTTTCTTAATTTAGCTTATATTGGAGTGCGCCTCTTCAGAAAGGTGATTTAAGAGCAAAATGCATTAAAGTGGAATATTGTTCGCAAAGCATATGGCTTATAATTGGAAATCTCCCACTCCCATCGCCGAGAGACTTTTCTAACTATAGCATGCCGGAGAAATAATTAAGGTGGTTAGACCTATACCCTGAAATGCTCTTAACATAGAGGGAAAACTCCGCTCAATTAGATACATTTAATTAATAAAGCGTGCATCCCATGGACCGGGTTTCATAATAATATTATTAGGATTTATATCTACCGTTACAATTTTTAGATTAATTTCGTAATATAATTTTCACTTCTTGGTATATTTTCCTTTTACTTTTGGATATAAAAATATAAATTTATTTTACATAAACGTGTTTAGATTTATTATTAATCAATTTTATTCCTGTTTTTATGTGTATCTTTGTAATGTTTTTATTCTGATTAGTGGACAATGAGCTTAACTAAATCTTTAGAATACTGTTATGGATAAAAAAAACCTAAGCATTTTTCGTTGTTATGTCAACCATTGTAACACTTAAAAGCGGAGGAAGGTTTTTTTTTTTTTTTTTTGGGGGGGGGGGGAATAAGGAGTTTTTTTTTAGTATTGATATAGATTCTTTAAATTTGCTTATGTGACAAATGAATTTTTTTTTATTCTAAAAAAAATTGCAAATCTCTTTTTATTATGATAAAATATCTAATAAAAAAGATAATATTTTTTTAAAAAAAATTATTTAAACTATCAATTTTTTTGAACTCCAGATTTTCTTAAATTTTGAGTCAACCCTACTGTTGCGATTAATGCGAAGCGGAGGGAGTATATCAATACACAACTTTAAATATTAATATTTGTTAATAGGCAAAAACTAACGAGTCCCCCGGAGCGTTAGATAAGAGCTAAATGTGGAAATATTATAATGAAATTAACATTAATTACACCGATCGATGCGTTATTTTGTCATGCATTCCAAACTTAATACTATTTTAAGTAACGTATTAGTCCCTTATCTAACGCCCCGGGCGATTGTTAGCAAGATCCTTGTATTTATATATACATCCTCCATTTTAGAAAATATTATAGCGAAATTAACATTAATTATACCGATCGACGCGTTATTTTGTCATACATTCCGAACTTAATACTATTTTAAGTAACATATTAGTCCCTTATCTAATGCCCCGGACGCTTTAGCAAGATTCTTGTATTTATATATACATCCTCCATTTTTTAATATTTGCAACACTCTCTAAAATGGAAATATCACAATACTGCATCACATTGTAATTGAAAAGTAAATTAAATTATGTGATAACCACTTTTTCTTAAATACCGTTAAAATGTGTGTGTTGCAACTTATCACAATCACTAAATGCGGATATTATTAAGAGTTTCTAACTAATACCAAAACCAATATTATTTTCCTTCATTTTAACTACAAATGTAAAAAAAAAGCAACAAATTAAAAAGAAAGTACCACAAACTAGCTCAAATAAAACTGGTCCAAAGTTAAGATTTCTTCCACTTGTTTATACTCTCTTGTTCCGAAATTAGTAATCTCGTAAGCAGTGTGATTTGACAACTAATTTCAGACGGATGGAGTATTTCATTAAACTAGAGTCACATATTTAATTAGTTGAGTTTGCCATGACCATAAATGAACCTTGCATCCCCTTCAGTGTATACATGAGACTCGTTATCCAACCTGTTAATTCAACACCACATCTTAACATTAGTATAGGAGTATTTTACATTGTTCATAATCGAATAATACGAAAGGTAAATTAGTTTAAAGATTATGTACGTACGAGTTTCGAACAGCTTTGCTCAAAGTTGAAGCAGATAAGAAAGTTGTAGCATCCAAGAATCTGTTTTCACCGTTCATCCTTTGCTTGACTCTTAGATCAAACTCCTCTGCCTTCAACATAAGCTCGGAATCTGATGCCTGTATTCCGATTTTATTTTTTTTAATAAAATTAGCATTTTTATATGAAATCTTTGTCATAAATAAATTTTATTGACAAACGAAATATCCAGGGAATTATACCATGACCCAGCCCCAAGTATCAGCATACGAAGGAATGTGAGCCGAGTAAGGAACAACATCTGCAGTAAACAGACACGATAACATTTTAGATCAAAACCCATCTCAGAATTCGAAGATTAACATCTGAAACATGCTTACATTTGAATACTTGCTTCAGTGTGTTGTAAATGCAAGTGAAAACTTCAGTATGGCTGAAAATTCCAGCTGGTCCAGCCTATACATTTTATATATCAGCAAATTAAAATCCTGCTACATTTTAATATGATATGGGATTGTTGCAGGATTTGCTGCAGTATATCTCATACCTGTGTGACAAATACACCATTGCGGCCAAGTTTAGGCTTTACAGTGCTTTCGTAGAATGATTTTGTATAGAGCTTATAACATGGACCGCCTTCAAGAGGATCCGCGAGGTCTCCTATAATCACATCATACTTCTCAACGCGGCTCTGTAGCTCAGCTCTGTCCATGAATCCACCAAAATTTATCAAGGACATATAAAGATCGCATTATTAACTTGGTATGTATCATATAATTAAAGAAAGCTACCCAGCATCGTTAATGATTAGCTCGAGTCTAGGATCACAAAACGCTTCCTTGTTCACAACTAAGTAGGACTTGCAAAAATCAACAACTTCCTGTTCAAAATGTAGAGTAGAATTAGTTAATCAATGCAATCATACATGTTAAACACTTATGTCTTGTATAGGGAGGTTAAGGACTTGATGACTTACTTCATCGATGTCACACATGACAACCTTTTGAACAGTCTGATGCCTAAGAATTTCTCTTGCAGTAGAACCTTCACCTCCTCCCATAATGAAGATGCTTTGGGGACTATCATTTAACATAACAACTTAGATGGACTGTATCGTCTCTGTTGTTTACAAGATTAGATAACAATTTTCACACGCGAAACAAGGATTACCTTGGATGATGAAGCAACGGCGGGTGGACAAGACATTCATGATAGATGAATTCATCAATCTCTGCACTTTGGAGCTTTCCATCTATAACCAAAGCCTATGGACCCAGAATCCCCAGAAGATAACAGAGTTAGTCTTGATTATATGAACATTACAATTTAAACACTTTAGAAAATAAATTGGGGATAAATTTACCTTCCCAAATGGTTTTGTGTCCAAAAGCTGTATGTCTTGATACTGAGTTGCTCCTGTGTGTATTATTCTGCAAGAATGATAATGTTAAATTATGTTACAACAATGATAATGTCCAATTATTATGTTACAACAATGATAATTTTCATTATGTATACTTAGTTAATTACACGACTAATTAATTATATTGTAGAACTCCTAATTTTGTCTGGCTTTTCATGGGCAGCAGTATGAAAAAAAAGTAGACTTTTCAAATTAGAAGCCAATTGTACAAAAAGGAAGAACAAAATCCAGATAAAAAGGTCTATAGCCTAAAAGTGGAGATATTAATCTTTTTGTCGTTTAACCAAAGCCCAAAATTAGCTTCGCAATTATACTTGATCATGAAACTTCTATCTTATCTTGAATTTTATTCAAATGAATAGTTTATGGCTAACTAATTTGAGCCCTCATAATTAAGAATAATATTTTTTTTTACTAAATTACTTTTGATAATAAATACTTCTTCCGTTTTTTTAATACTTACAACACTTTGTTAGAATAAAAATTTCGCAATACTTGCAACACACTATACTCCCTCCGTGTTTTAATAAGTGTTACATTTACCAAATCCGGCCGTGTTTTAATAAGTGTTACACTTCCTTTTTTTGGCAAAAAGCTACATTTTAATATTATATCTCTCTCTTCTCATGCTCCCACCTAAACTCACAACTACTTTTTTTTTTATTATTATTGTTTTTCCTCACATTTATTACTTTTTAATAAACTTTTAACCCCACTATCTTTCTTTTATACTTCCTCTGTTCCATTAATATTGCAACAAGGATAAAATTATGTATCCCAAAGCACATTTTATATGTTAAATATATATGTGTAATTTTAGCTAGAAGAGTAAAAATTATAAAAAGTTGATATTTTGTAAGTATTTTACGAGACAAATTTAAAAAGATCTCACATGAATATATTTTACTTAATATATAAATCATAATATGCGGTCAAACAAGCATGATAAATAGTGCAAAAGTCCAGTTGTTGCAATATTACTAGAACGGAGGAAGTAATTTTTTAATATTTCAATTACCCCACTTACCTCTTATTTTATTTAAGTTAATTAAATTGCCTAAAACTATATGCCGGTCAAAGTGTAACACTTATTAAAACACGAAGAGTGTAATAAGTTGGTACTTAGTAAGTTATTCAATTATCTTCTAGCCATTATTTAGCGTCACAAATTTGAGACAATTTTGTAATAATGACAATTCTTGTGAAAGTTATAAGTAAAAGTTCAACAAATAAAAATAAAATAAAATAAAAACTTGCTAGAATTCGGATCATGTTTAATTTATGGAGTAGCTAGTAATTAAATTGTTGTGGGTTAAAACTTTCAAAATGAAGTTAAGGCTACGTTAATTATACTTGTATAAAGTTGTAAAATACCTATTCAAAGCAAATGACCATCTCAAGTTTTCCTCAATCTCTTCTTCATACCAGCAACTTCTTCTTTGACCTTGATCACCTCCACTTTGACCTTTCCCAATTAATCCATTACCACAAATACCATTATCATTAAATCCATTTCCATTGCTAATTGAAAGACTCCCCATATTGATTCCTTACTAATATGAGGTTCTAAACTCGACGAAAAAAAAGTGTTAGCGAATTTGACACGATTTTAGTGAGAGAGCTAAGACAAGCTAGGTAGATTATATTGTTGCAAGACAAAGTAGGGGAAGAGGAAGGATATATAAGAAGAAATGGAAAGGACGAAAGAGTAGAGTAATGATTAAAGAGGTAGGCAAATGGGAAGGAAGTATGAAGTGGGTGTGCTTAATGTAATGAGAATCCTCATATGTTCAAAAAAAATGTAATGAGAATCCTCATTGATAGGGGTGGGCAAAAAATCCGATCCGATCGATCCGATTCACGATCCGACGTATCAGACTCGAAAATTCGGATATTCGATCCGGTTTTTAACATTTTGGATACTTCGGATCGAATATTCGAAAATTTTTGTCGGATTCAGATCACAATTTTTGAAAAATCGGATATTCAATCCGATCCGTTTTTTAATTTTTTTAATATTTATATATAATAAAAAATTAAATAATTATGATACTGTCAAAAACCCAAAAGGCCAGTACTCATATGTTCATTGTCATTGATAATAGCAAATGTAATGAGAAAAGGCAAGAGAGTTGCATGTATAAAGTTGAGACATAAGAGTAGAGGAGTGCGCGGTTTCTAAGGATGATTTGCTCGCGTGGGTTTAGGTATTGGATGTTTATGCATTTATGTAGCTATTTACTCATCATTGTGCTTTCTTTTTAATTATACTTGTCACCAATATGTGAATGTTTTGAGTTGCTTGTGCTGTTTCTTTTTTTGGTGGAGGGGTGTTTATTTGAGTGGTAAATGTGGTGGGTTTTATTGGATTAATTAATTGAATGTCTTGAATCTGTTTGTCCCACTAAGAACGATTTATTTAACGTAAAGTTTTTTTACTAGGTCAGCGCAATAATGGGATCTTGTGATGCACGATGCGCATTATGCACCGGTTTAAAAATGACGCCCGTTAAAACATAAAACGTGTGTCCCTTGATAAGCGACATTATTTATGCCAGTTTTAGGTCCTTATTTAAAGTGCTTTGAAGATTGTTCCACACCTTTTTCTTGGTTTTTCTTAATATTTTTACTCTTTATCCTTGTGGGACCATTTGATTGGTTATGCTATTCCACTATTTTATTTTTTGTTTTAGCGCTTTATTTGTCTCTTGATTGCAAGAAGTTCTTAAGGAATAAGAAAGAAAAAATGGCTAGATTTCAAGCTCAGGGAGGCTAGGAGGAGCCACTTAAAGGAACTACCATCTCACAATGGTGAATGGGGGTTCACATTCCGTTTGAGCGGCTGCTCAAGGGAAATAAGAAGTTTCAAGCAGTCTGAGTTGGCATTAAGGGGCTTGAATTTATAGTCCATTTCAAACCAGGTCGGTTTTGCATAGTCAATTTCAAATTGGGTTAGTTTTGGATCAAGCAATTAAGAGTATATGCTGGGCTTGAATTTAGAGCCCATTTCAATTGGGTCAATTTTGGATCTTGAAAAGGTTGGTCCCGAATTTAGAGTCCATTTCAAATTGGGTCAATTTTGGATCTTGAAAAGGTTGGTCTCGAATTTAGAGTCCATTTCAAATTGGGTTGATTTTGAATCATGCAATTTAGAGTATAGGTTGAGATTAAATTTAGTGCTCATTTCAAAATTTAAAGTATAGGCTGGGCTTGCATTTAAAGTCCAATTCAAATTAGGTCGGTTTTGAAAGTCCATTTCAAATTGGGTCGATTTTGGATCATGCAATCTAGAGTATTGGTTGGCTTGAATTTTAAAGTCCATTTCAAATTTGGTCGGTTTTGGATCATGCAATTTAAAGTATAGGTTGGGCTTGAATTTGGTCTATATCATTTCGAGTATTATTTGTGTGTTCGAATGAGATTATTTTTTTTGTTAGGACAAGTGCCTATAAATAAAGAATAAAGAGTAGTTCATAATGTGAAAATTCTACAATGTCATTCTTCAAAAAAGGCACCACAATTTGCTTACATGGCAAAAGCTAATTGGCCCGCATTTTGTATTTTGATTTTCTTTTTGAATTAATTTTAACGTCCATAATGTATTAAAATTGTATTTATATTATGTATTCTTTTTAATGCAAGTATTATTTAGAAATACATAATTATAAATTAGAAAATTTATTTTTAAAATACTTATACTTATAATTAAAAATCACAAAATTAAAATTGGTCATCATTATTCATCAATGTTCTTCATTTATGTCATAGATTAGCCACTGCACCCATTCCCAAAATCATTGCATTGTTAATTGTCAGTTTGTAAATAAATTGTGTTGTTATGTTTCGGTTTTTTTTTTTCCAGTAAATGAATTGTTGTCTTCTGTTTCGTTTTTTCAGTTTTGAATTTAGGTTTTTGTTCACAAAAAAATCTTAACAACAATCTCATTTTTAAGTATTTGTTAAGGAAGAATTACCCGCATAGATGTTTTGCAATATCACGATGGCCAGCGGCATAATAATTTAAGTTGAATGATTGGTGTTCTTTTGACTGTAATCGGAAAAGACGACCATTTTTTTTTTTCAAGTCCCATCAGTTTGATCCGTAAAAATTAATTTATTTTTTGCGAACTTGTTTGTGAATTAGGTAATGACCTAAATTACTTTTGGTCATTACATAGGAAAACAGGGTCTTATATATTCAATTTGTATTAAAGGCATTTACCTATGTTTTCTTTAGGCATTACCTGAAAAATATACTACACCGTAATTATACAAATAATATGTAGATTTTTCTTAAGAATATATATATATATATATATATATATATATATATATATATATATATATATATATATATATATATATATATATATATATATATATATATATAAGCACAATCAATCCACAATTATTTACACGTATTAATGGAGTCCTAAGATTGTAGTTTTAGTTACTTCCTGTTAAATATATTGTTAAAAATAATATATATATATATATATATATATATATATATATATATATATATATATATATATATATATATCTTTGTAAATGTAAAATAGTTAGGCACATTATTCACCTTCCTAGTTTATAGTCTTTGACTTGTATAATTGTAAATTAATTGGCTGTAGATATGCTTTCCTATATATAGCTTTCACCCCCTTGATTGTAGCCATCAATTAACCTACAATACATAATTATGAATCAATGAAACTAATTTTCATTTACAAATATATATATAAAATATATATAACCAGCAATATATTTGACACTTTCAAACATAAATCATAGTGGTTTTTGACAGAAAGTATATCAATTATTATCCTCAGAATTTTTTTATTTAATTTGTTATTTTTTTTGAAAAAATTATCCTAAGAATTTATTTATTTTTATAATTACCGAAATTTATCCTACTATTAATATTAGTTATTATATTAAAATTTATTTTTATAACTTTAATTACCAAAATTATACCTATTTAATATGTCAGTTATTATCCTAAAATTTGTTTAATATTGTAATTAACAAAATTTATCCTATTTTAATTATGTTTCATACTTTTTTTTTTGAAGCAAATTATGTTTCATACTTCTGAGAATGAAAAATAGAATTTTTTTTCGTTATTAAATTTATATTGTTATATAATTGTGTCGATAAAAATGACAATACTATCACTATTAAATTTAAATAGGAGAAACAAATTAATACTAGCCATGACCTAATTAATAAAAATATATGTATTTTCCTTACTTTATATAAGGAGATCGAATATTTGGTTTAAACTAACATAAAAAAGATACATGTAGCTTAATTAAATTATATAACCCGCTTGTATATTTATCTATAAGTATTTCAGGTAATAACTTAAACTTTTATAAGTCATAACATTTTTATTTGATGTTATTTAATTAGTGTATTCTGGTTCTTAAAGTATGAATTGAATGTCTAATAGATGTTAGTTTACACTTTATAAATGGAAATGTTACTATTTTTAATTTATAGTTGTACACTTTCATAAAATGGAAATATCACAATAGTTGCAACATACTATAATAGGAAAATTTTTATGGAGAAAATTCTATTATTACATTTATTTAAAGCTCATGACCCACTTGATTATACTCCTAACAACCTCTTAATACCATTTTAAATGTATTTTAACATGTGAGGTCCACTTTTTTCAACTACCGTGATATAATTTGTGTTACACAATTATAAAAAAATGGAGGAAGTATATATGAGTCTTTTCTTTATTATATATATATATATATATATATATGTAACATCATGTACTGTTTATGGAGCCTAATAATGATTGTTAAACTATTCAAATTAAAGAATGTATACTATTACTTCCAAATATAAATCATAGTAGGCAATTATTTTATCTTAGTGTCATGAAAGGCAATCATGTAATAAGTTATGTTGGAGTAAAAAAATTATTTTTAGATAACAAATTCATGTAATTGAATAACACAATATAGGTCATTACCTTTTAGTTGATGTTATTACTATTATTATTATTACTACTACTACAATGGTTGGGAAAAGGGATTAGTTGCATTGAATGTATTATGTTCTTAACATTTTGAGAATTGATACACTCTCTCCATTCCTAAACGTTCGATTCACATTGCATATGCACAGTCTCCAATGATCATCATCTTTGACCATTAATAATTTTGGCTACGTATAAGTAAATTATTTAAAAAGTTGATGTTTTGGAAAGTTATCATAAGGGGAATCTAATATGGTCAATCTTGTCAATTTATATTGATTGTATAAATCATAAAATGTGGTCAAAGTTATTTTACTTTGATCACATGAATAGGAAAGTGAATTGAACTTTCAGAAATGGAGGTAGTATAATTTGTAAGAGTTCTTTTTACGCAGATTAATAACATCAACTAAAAGGTAATGACCTATATTGTGTTATTCCATTACGTATCCAAAAATAATTTTACTCCAACATAACTTATTAAATAATTGCCTTGCATGACACTGAGATAATATAATTGTCTACTATGATTTATATTTGGAAGTAATCGTATGCATTCTTTAATTTGAATAGTTCAACAATCATTATTAGACTCCATAGATAACATGTACTACATGATTGTATTTGATTTTTTTTTATTTATGTGATATATATATATATATATATATATATATATATATATATATATATATATATTTTAAAAGAAAAAACTACATAATTCCTCCATTTCTTTATAGTTGCAAGACTTGCGACACATACTTTAACACGGTATTTAAGAACAATGGACCTCACATGATATAATACATTTAAAATGTG